TTTTAAGGTTGTGAGATTTACTATTATATATTGTAATTTAAATATTTATTTTTACTTCTATTTTTATTGTTAACTAATCTATTTTGATTATGACTTCTGATAGGAAAATATTAAATAAATAGTAAATTTTTAGGAAATTAAAATGGAAAAAGATATAATCCAAAAAGAAAAAAATAAAAATAAAAAGTCAAAAAAAAAAAAACTAAAACATAAATATGGTCCCATGAATTAAATAGATGAAGACGTGGGAACAAAAAATAAAAAAAAGAAAAGAGTAAATATGGTATTAAAATTAAAAGTTGAACTTGAAACGAAAATTTTTATTATTTTTTTAACAAAACCAATGAAATAAAAAAAAGGAGGGGATGAAAAAACTAAGAACTTTTAAATTCAGATAATGTCAACGGTATGTTTTTTACTTTGTATTAATATTTTTAAGAGTTATTACTTTTGTGAGGTATTTGTAAAAATAAAAAAGAATACTATTCACTTTTTAGAGCTGGAATAATCCAGTGTTTGAGGGATATCTCTCGAAACAGTCTGGAATCATGAAGTCATGGAAACGTAAATGGGTACGTTTGACAAAGACTGATGTATATGTGTTTGACAATCCAACTAAGAATACTCCAATATTAACAATTCCACTTCAAAGAACTGTTGTTTCTTTAGTTGCTTCAATGGGAGATAGTTATTTAAAATTAGACTCAAAGAAATTAGGAAAACAATTTATTTTTAATGCCCCATGTAAAGATCAAGCAGAAAGATGGGTCACTGCTATTAATAATACTATTGATGCTGGTCTTACTAGACCATCTGGGATGACACAAGTAGTACATGTAGATTTTGACCCTAATCTTGGATATATTGGGCTTCCACCTGAATGGGAAAGATTTCTTAATGAAGGAGGTATTACTACTGATGAATATAAAAAGAATAAAGATGTTGTTGATGATGTATTAAATTTCCAAATTCAAAGACAAGGAGATAAAGCTAACCTTCCGTCTGTTCCTGCTCCTATTTCTCAACCTAAACAATCTAAAGCTGTTGTAGAACCATTACCAGAAGATGTTGAAAAAGTTCAACTAAAAGATGTTACAATTGAACAAGACCCAAGAGAATTTTATTCTGATTTTGAAAAAATTGGAGAAGGAGCTTCAGGAGAAGTTTTTTCTGCAAAAAGAAAAGCTGACGGAATTGTTGTTGCTTTGAAACAAATGGAAGTAAACAGTGATAATGAAAAATTAATTGCAACGGAAATAAGTTTAATGAAAGGATGTAAACATGACAACGTCGTTACATTCTATGAGGCATTCTTTTTACCAGCTAAAAAACTTATGTGGATGTCTATGGAATATATGGATGGAGGATGTCTCACTGATATATTAGAAAATCATGATATTATTGAAATGACTGAACCACAAATTGCTTATGTCTGTCGTGAAACATTAAGAGCATTAAATTTCATTCATGGATTACATTGTATTCATAGAGATATTAAATCAGATAATATGTTACTTACTAATGATGGACATGTTAAACTAGCTGATTTTGGTTATGCAGCTCAATTAAATCAAAAACAAAAAAATAGAAATACGGTAGTTGGTACTCCTTATTGGATGGCACCTGAATTAATTCGTGGTCATGATTATGGTGTAAAAATTGATATTTGGTCATTAGGAATCATGGTGATGGAAATGGCTGAAGGAGACCCTCCTTATATGGAATTCCCACCATTACGTGCTTTATTCTTAATTACAACAAAAGGAATTCCTCCTTTGAAAAATGCAGAAAAATGGAGCAGAGATATGAATGGATTTGTTGCTCGTTGTTTGGAAACTATCCCTGATAATAGAGCTGATTCTGAAGAATTACTCCAACACCCTTTTATGAAAATTGCATGTGAAAATACAGATTTTGCACAACTAATTGCTGATGTGAGAAAGCTTGCATAAAATTATATCGTTCTGAAGTCAATTTTTTGTTATATTTTTTATTTTAATAATTTTGTTATTTAAATATTTAACTATTAAATAATTTCTTTTTTGTTTTTTTAATCTCAATATTTAAAAGTTCTAAGGTTATAAGTCATTGTTTTTATTTTCACTTAAAACTCTAAAATAATACCAATCATTTTCCTTAATTACATTTTTTTTTATTTTACGATTTAACTTTTTTGAGTTAAATAATTTTACTACTTCATTTAGTCAGTAATAAACAGTGTAATGAATTATACTTATTATATAGGCATTCTCTCAATAAATCTATGCCTTTTTTTGTTAATAACATTTTGTTATATTTATTTTCCATGATCTTTATTTAATATCACCTGTGTTTCATATAACGATTTCAAATATTCTAAAGTAATATCGTTATTTGGGTATATTTCATTTTGTGGGTCTTTCTTCTTTATTTTAATTTTCTTATTAGAATCAAACATGATTTTATTTGTATTGATTCTGACCCTTTCATTCTTATTAAATTTAATTCTTTCTTTAATCATTATCATTATATATTTTAGGTACTTTATTCTTTCTTGTGCTTTGATTTTAATTTCATCTGCATCTTGTTCATTTAATCTCATGATGCATTTTATTCTGTACTATTCCATTGTTTAGATCTTCTAATCTATTTATTTTCTTTATGATTTCTTTTATTTCATCAAATTTATCTCATTTAAATTTATTTTGGAGATAATAATACATACACATTGAAATCATTTTCATATCTTCTTGCAGATTTTCTATTCTCCTGACCATACCCATTTATTATTAATTTCTCTTATTAATTTATCTGATTCTTTCCTTTTCCAGTAGTAATTAATATTTACACATTTCTCTATTTTCATTTCTTTAAGTTGAATGATGATAGAGTTAAGATATTCATCATCAATATCAATAATGTTATTTTTTATGATAATATTTTTTATTATTGGATTACACTCTACTTTCCCTTCTATGATGGAGTTCATTTTTCATTTTAATATATATTTTAGTTGTTTCTTTTATTCTATGTGACTTTTTAATATCATTAATGTATTCTTTATCATTATTTACATTAATGTTTATTACTTTTATTATGCTCTCTATTTGTTCATTTCTTAATTTATTATTTAACAAATTAATTGCAAAACAATACAACACATCAATTAAAATTCTATTTGTTTGATTTATGTGTTTTCTTCTCTTCTTGACTGATTATCATTTCTTGTTTCTTTATATTGATTTATTCTTTATTTCTGTGTTTTTCATTTATATATTTTTATTTTCATAATCATTGTGTTGTTACCTTTATCAATGTTATGTATTTATTGTCAGTATTACTTTTTTGTATTTCTCTGTTTATTTGTTAAATTTCTTTATCATATTGATGTTCAGTATTATTTTATATTGTTATTCTTGTTGTGTGTTGTTGTTCTTTTTCTTCTTATTTTTATTTCACCTTATTGTTATTTATTGTTTGTTTTGGTTTCGTTCTTCTTCTTATCACAATTATTTCATTGGTTTTAAATAATATCTTCATTATCTCTTATTTCTCTATTATTTCTACTTTCTTTTATTTTACTATTATTATTTATCATTACTTATTTTTACTATTTTCTTTATTTGATTAAGTGCCTATTCTTTTTATTTCTGTTTTCATTTCAATTTCATTTTCATTTATATCATTATTATGTGATATTATCATTAATTATGATGAGATGTTTTGTTATTTATTATTTTTATTATATTCTATTTTCTTCTTTTTATTATTGTTATTTAAAATAATAAAAATAAAATAACATTTATTAAAATAAAAAATAAAATGAAGTGTTATAAACGTGTATTTAATTATTTAATCATCTGATTTTAATCTGATATTCATTAAATTAAAATGGAATCAATGATGAATAATCAATTAATTAAAGAAGTAGTAGAAACACTTCCAAATATTCAACAATCAATTGATGATACTACTAAACAATATCAATATTATTTAGGATGTATTAAAAATGAAATATTTGAGAAACAAGATAATGAAACATATGAACAAGCAATTAAAAGAGGAGAAGGAATATTTGATAGGATAGATGAAGTAGTTAGAAGAAGAAGAATAGTAATAGAAAAAGGACAAGAAACAATTAATCAAATAGAAACAATTAATAATCAAATGAACAAAATAATAGAACAATGTAATGATGATTCAGAAACAGTTAATAAAGCAAAGGATGAACTAATAGATAAAATCATTCACATGGAAGAAATGGATATGGAAGATAAAATTAAGAAATTAGAAGAAGAAATTAACAATATTAAAACAAAATTTAATAAAAAGAAAGAAGAATGGTTTACACAATATAGTGATTATTTAGAGAGGAAGAAGATAAAAGAAGAAGAAGAGAGATTGGAAAGAATGAGAGGAACGAGTACAATGGAAGAAATGAAACAACTAGAAGAATGGACGTCAAGAAAAGTATCAAATATATTATTTGATTCAGATATTGATAGTTGGAATATTAATACATCACTGCTTAAAGAGAAAGTATTAAATAAAGAAGATATAATAATTAATGTTGAAGATACAAAAGGAAATAAATTTGGAGGATATGTTAATGTGAAAATTGATAAAGTTGGTAAATATATAAATGATTCAAAATCATTTTTATTTTCATTAAAATCAAATGGAAGAATAGAAGAAATGATGAAATTTGATATTAAAGATTCACAACATGCATTTATTTTAAATGATCAATCAGGTGGTTGTTTGTTTGGGTTTGGAGGTGGATGTGACATTCGTGTTTTTAAAAAAAATGATAAAACAAAATCATATTGTAAACAATCTTCATATGAATATAAAGGAATAA